ATATTCTAAAAACAGGTTTCTATAGTCATAACATCACTTCTAGCTTTTAGTTAAGGGCATCTTAAAGAAAATACTCTCATTCTGAATCTGCTATACTATGAGAATGGTATTTGTTACAGTATGGCAACAAGTACATCCAGGCTTCTAGTACCATGTCTTGGTCCTTCTTAGGCAGGACTTTATCTTAACAATGGTTAAATTCATAAGTTTCGTAGGTGATTTAGAAAGACTGTGTTTCCACTTATCCGCTGATAATATAAAATGAACTTTAGTCTTTGCTGAGAAACTAGGAAGAATCTTGCATTTAGTGTTTTCATTCCAGTTCAACAAACATTAATTGAGCACTCATTATTTGGCACATGATGTGCATACAGAAATCTTGGGATGCAGAAAGGAATATGATCTGACCTCTGCTCTTGGGGAACTTATGGTCTGGTTGGGGCACCACACATACAAATAAAGCATAGTGATGAATTACTGTGATCAGAGTAATAAAGACTTGAATTAGGTCAGTGAAATAGAGATTGAATGGATATGAGAAATGTTTCAGGTGGAATGATAGGCCTTACTAACTGATAAAGTATAAGAAGGGTTGGGAGGGAGACTGTGAGAGAAGGCGCAAATTCTAGAATGTTCACGAATCCTAGCTTGGACAACTGAGGCCATTAATTAACATGAGAAAGTAGAGAAAATGAGCACATTTAGGTTGGGAGCGAGCTCAATACAGTGGGGTCTTTTAAATTTGAGGTTCTCAAGTGTGTTTGTCTAGCTGACCTGAAAGTATGGATCTGAATCTGGAGCTCTTTTGCTATTATTAAAGATAAATACTTTGGAGTCACTTAGATATGGTGTTAGTTGAATTCATAACAATGGATGAAAGAACCCAAGAGGAACATATATAGTGAGAAGAAATAGTGCCTGAACCCCAACCCTGGAAGTACCAATATTTTAGGATTGGACAGTAGGCAAAGAACCTCCAAATTAGAGAGGAAGACCAGTGAGAGATATCTAAGTAGAGTAGGAGAGAATATTCTTAGGGGCATGGAGAGAGACTGTTTTAAGAGGGAAGAAATAGCCAGTTTCAGATGTTTCAGAGCTGTCTTGTTGAATGAAGACTTTTTGATTATTTATTCCAAAAGCTTTTTATTCTGTCCATTTCTTCTATCTAATCAATTAGCAGGCACAGTTGTGTTTGAGATGTAGGAGTAATCAAAATGGACAAAAGTCTCTAACTTCATTCACTGAGCTTATTTTTTAGTGAAGGGTAACAATCAATCAATAAAGTAAGTAAAAAATTATATAGTATATTAGTTGAGAAATGGATGCCCTCACTGAGAAGGTGACATTTAAGATCTGAACAAGAAACATGGGAGGAAAGCATTTAAAACAAGGAATAAGCAGTGTAAAAGTCCTGAGGCAGGAGTACTCCTAGGGTATCCTATGAATAGCAAAGGGCAGGATGAGGGGGCAGAGTGGCTGAAGAAGAGGTGAGGGCATGGGATCAGAAGGTAAAGGAGGTTAGGTCACGTAGGGCTTTACAGGTCATTGAAAGGACTTTTGCCTTCAGTTAGAATGAGGTGGAATGTCATTATAAGGTTTTGAGCATAGGAATCTCTTATATGACTGAGCATCTTAACAAGCTCACTCTGGTTGCTAAAAAGTGATAAACAATCACTGTAGAGAATAAGGGTGAAAACAGGGAAAAAAGTTAGTAGGTTGTTGTAATAATCTAGGTAAGAGAGAGTGGTGGCTTTGACCAGCTTTGAGCTTGATAAGAAGTGGTTGCTTTTGGGTCATGTTTTGAAGATAGAATACTATGTGCTGAAGGATTGGAAGTAGGGTTGGGACAAAGAGTCAAGGGTGATTTCAAACTTTTTGAACTGAGCACCTGAATGATGAAGTTGGAGATAGAGAACATGGGAGGAAGATCAGGACCTGAGTGTTGTGTATGCTGAATATAAAATACCTATTAGTTCTCCAAATGGAAATGTCAGTTACATATACAAATCAGGAGTTTAGAAGAGAAGTCTGAATTTCTAGGAGAGGAAAGTGGGAGCCATGAATATATAGATGGTTTGTAGTCTGAAACTGAATAAGATTATTTACAAAGTGAACATAGGTAGAAAATACAGAAGATTTCCTCCTAAACGACCCTAATGTGTACTGGTCAGGAAGATGAAGGACCTGCAAGGGAGACTGAGAAGGAGGAAACAGTACAATAGGAAAACTAATTTGGCAAGTGGGATATTATTGGTGGACTTACCAGCAGCAGTGCTAGTAGAGTGGTAGGATTGTAAGCCAAAAATTAGTGGGCCAAATAGTAACTCAGAGATGAGAAAGCTTAAACAGTGATGATATACTACTTGTAAAAGACGTTTGATGGTGAGCAGAACCAGATAGATGGTGATTCACTCAAGGATGATGTAGAATTAAGAAATGGCTTTTTGTTTGTTTCTTGAAATGGGGGAGACAAACAACTTTATAGGAAAAAGGGATGAAATCTGTGGAGACTATGGAAACTACTTACAGAAATATGTTCCGGGGGAGGCAGGAGAGGTCATTTCCAGAGCACCATTGTGCCTTGGTTTGGAATGGTGGAAAACATACTGTACTAGCAACTGGAATGATGAAATTATCATAAACTAAGATGGAGAAAGTAGACTTCTACTGATTTTCCTTCTACTTATAATTAAAGCAGAAGTCCTTTTTACTGAGACAGTAAAGGGAAAGAAGTAAGGATTGATGAAAATATAGAAGATTTTGAGGATGAAGGAAAAAGAATTTCATTTGTTCATTTAACAAGCCTTTATTGACCATTGACTATGTTCATGTTCCATGTGTCTGATTCTAGGTTCTGAGATTTGGAGTGAACCAAATAGATACATCTTGATATTGCCGTAATGGGGTTAATATTCTTGTGAAGTGTGAAGGTGTATGTGCCTGAAGGCTCTGATGTGAGTGGTGGAAGCAGCTAGATTACCTGCTGAGACAGGGATGAATGGGTTCAGATAGACTCCTAAGGAGAGTAGTAATGGTTTATATCAGTCACTAAAGACCTTGGGAAAAGAGCCCAGCAGAGACTGGAGGCTACATATTTGTTCAGTAGCCAGACACCATGATATGGTGATTTTCTTTTTTAGTGCTCAAAAGCCTAGAAAAAAGTATGAAGAAAATAGCTTGGTGGGACAGGATTGGGAATTGTGCGGGTGAATATGGAGGCCTTACAGACCAGCACCCCTGCGATTTACATTTCCTTTACTTAATTATAATTTACAGTGCAAATAATGGAATCCCAAAGAAATTGTAACAAAAATACTTTGGTACTATTTGTTTAATTGAAATTAAAGAATTCATAGGAAATAGTCATTAATATAAAATGGTAAAGTAAATAAACTTTTTTTTCTACTTGCTAACATGTAGCCTATAAGAATCATATATCTATTTTACACCTCAGTTGCCTTTTTGATTAACAGTCTTCTACATTTCCTATGCTTACAATGGAAATTCACTTTGAAACTTGAGTTGTTTTACCATCTTATTGTATTCTAGCCTACTATTATTATTCTACCGAAATAGTTTAGCTTGAATTATTTATAAGCACATAAGCAGTATAGCAAGTGGTTCAAGACATTAGTGTTCATTTCTGGAATGTAAGTGCTCTGACGTCAATCCTATATCAACCTAGATTGACATTACTACAACTGGGGTAAAAAAACATACCTTTAAGCACATATATTTGTTTTCTTAGAATGTAATGGCTTTAGATCCTATTAAGTCTAATGAATAATCACTTGGCTAAGGCCTTACTCCTTTCCTATTAAACCTCCCTCAAAGTACAGTGTAACTTTGCATGAACTTGAAGTGTCAATAATTGTTATATGTCTACAACATGGAAGCAATTCCTACCAAATTAAGTGATACTATGGGGATTCACATATATCAAATGTGTAAAGTATAACACTTACTTTGTGTTGTAGCACTAATAGATAATTTTTCTTAGGTTTGGGGAAAGGAGTGATTGTCTTAAGTACTTATGACACCAAACAGGGACTTGAACTGAGCTGTTATGTTTAGAATGTTGAGGTTGAAGATAATTTTCTTTTCAAAAATCTGTTTTCTCAGGTTGTGTCATTCTATTGAGTAAGTGGTGATTTATTGTTTCATTGAGATTCAACTCTTTCACTGTAGGGATAATGTTATAGTTGGATTGGGGGGGCAGTTATTTCTCCCTGTTTAATACTAAAAATGAATTAAGCTTTTCATATTGAACATGCTGCTATGAGTAGGCTATAGGATTTAATTAATTTTAAATTAGTATTCAATTTTTTCATATACTTATTTGTTTTCTCTGTGCCTTTTTTACATAACTACCTGGTGTAAGGGGGTATAACCAAGTGTTAGAACATTGATAATTGGCCCACATGGAGAAAGAATGAATGATGTTGGTGTTTTAAATCCAGTTTGACAAATACTGAGAACCTACACTGTAGAAAGCACTGTGCCAGACACTGTGGAAGATTGATTGTTATAATTTATTGTAATCAGTTAAGCTAACCACACACACAAACAGCAGAATGCTGTCCAGGAAGTTCTGGTTTCATGAATTTCAGGCAACATATTAACCTGAGTTTATTTAAGAAATCAACTGATACAGTCCTTGTTTTACTTTAGCATGTTTTCAAGAGTCATCATCCCTTTCTAGAATACTGAGCTTTCTATTATTAAGAAATGTAGGCTGCAAACTTCTACCAGGTCAGAAATTCAGTGATTCTATTTTCTGTCATTTAGTAAATTTTAGGGACTATATTCATATCACCTTTAGTAATTGGTGTAAATAGAATGGTATTCATGAAAATAGGAAAAGATTCTTATTAATTTTTTTACCTTTACTTCTATAACGTAGAGTGAATTTCAGTTCTAATTAAGATGGAATCTTCCAGATATCCAACATTAGTAATAAAATTAAAAATAAATTACATGATTTTCTTGTAATTTTACAGCGCTTTGAACTCCAAGATTCAAGAAGCTCTTTGCTTCCTAAAGAGATTGTGAGAGTGGAGAGGACGACTGAAAACCACATCTCCCAAGCTTCTGTGACTGTCCGGATTGCAGACAAAGAGGTGACCATTAAGGTAATGAGTCAGAGTTTATTCTTTCTTTTTTAAAAATTGACTTTAGAGAGAGGAAGGAAGAGAGAAACAGTGATCAGTTGCCTCCCATACATTCCTGGACTGGGGATTGAACCTACAACCTGGGTATGTGCCCTGACTGGGAATCAAACCTGCCAAATTTCAGTGTGTAGGACGATGCTCCAACCACATGAGCCATGCTGGCCAGGGTCGGGGTTTATACTTTATAAGATGTGCCTGGTTCTGCTGATTTTTATTGCCTAAATTGGGTGTATGGTCCCCTTATCCTTCTGCTTTGGCTCTATAGCATCGCATCTATATATCTGTATCTATATTTATCTATGTCATGTATGTTTCAAACTGGAGAAGTTCAGGAGAAACATAGGGATAGCCCTTTATCAAAAACAAAAGTAAGCCTCTGAGGAAATGAAGTTAAGTGTTGATTAATGAAAGCATTTTGTAGTCTGAGTCCTTGGTAAGAAACAGTCAGTGTTTTCAAACGTATTTTAGCAGCTAGAGAACACTCTTTTCAAGTAAAATCTTTCTTAACTACATGGGACAATTGAAAGAGGAACTGTTCTAGTTGAAGTTTTTAGAGGAGGGGAATGATATCTGGTCATAGAGCTCCATCTGCTTGCTCTACCATCCTTTCTTCTAACCCTTTCTTTAAGATCCCTAAGAACCCTAAGAAGCAATGGGAAACTAACTCTAGGAGACACAGGTTGGAAAATCCTGCCTTAAATAAATTGTAAATCAATGTAGGAAAGAAAAGGCTTGCATTCTTATGTTGTGACAGACTAAACTTTAATTGTAGACTTTTTGGTGTGTTTTAATGTGATATAATTAATACTTATTCATATTAATCTTTTATTCATTCATCAAACTGAACATTGATTATGTCTACTATGAGCCAGGCTCTGTATTAAGTTTTACTAGTGCTGCTGTGGACTAGTCACTGTATTTGTCTCTTTGCATATACTATGCTATTAAATCCCGCAATAACACTGGATGTAAGTTTTATCATCTCCCTTTTAAAGATTAAAAATCTGATGTAAAAAGGTAATCAGTTCACCCATGGTCACCAGCTAGTAAATATCATAGCTGGGACTTATAGGCAGGATTATTTTCCACTACACCTTTCTGTCTCCTTGGTGAATGACCTCACCAAGCTGATGGTTGAGGACAGAGGTAGATAAGTAAGGACTGCACTGGAATGGCTATGGGGATATAGAGAAGGAAGTAATACAAGGAGTCAGGAGGAGTAGAGGAAGTTTCAGAGAGGAGGTGGGACTTGAGCTAAGTCTTGAAGTATGACATAGGAGTTTTCCAGTGGCCCAGGAGTAGAAAGATGATTGGACTTTTCAGGCATTTTAAACAGTATATCCAGAGGCATGAGGTATGAGCAAGGTTTCATTATTTCCTTCCTTTTAGTGATAGCTTTCTAACTTCATTGCCTCCAGTCCCTTCCAGTTAGCCTTCTGTATTCCCACAGGGATGATCTTTTTAAAATGCAAATTGGATTTTGTCACTTCCAAACTTACAATTCTTTAGGGTTCATGTTGTGTGCAGTATGATCAAGTGCCAAGTCCCCAGCAGAGCATGGAAATCTTTTCCTGATAGGGTCCCCAGGAGACTAATAAAGAGGAGATGGAAAATAAAAGAAGTAGGAATGAAGGATTCTAGGAGAGATTTTAAGAACAGGTGCTTCTTAGTGGTTAACTAAGTTGTTAGTGGGAAAGGACTTGTGTACAAGGATTTTAAAAGTCAGCAGGCCATTGGTGACATTGGAGAGTCCCAGCGGACTGATTTTAAATTCTGTACTTATAACTGGAATTTGGACAAAAACCTTCATTCTCAAGTGGCGACTTTGTTATTATAAGTTATAAATAGCATGAAGATGACCTGATTCTTATGAAAATGTCTGCCAGCATGGGGCTTTAATTTTAGGGAGATGATTGATTTGGAGGTTTGTTGATGATCATCAGATCTGTGAATGAGAAAATAGTTGCTGCTCTATTGAAATATCAAAAACAGTATAGATTTGAACTGAGCAAGAAATTAGTAGGGGCTTTAAATGGCAGTTATGAGCTTTCATTTACTAATTTAAAAAAAAANAAATTAGTAGGGGCTTTAAATGGCAGTTATGAGCTTTCATTTACTAATTTTTAAAAAAAATTTTTTTAAAAATATATCTTTATTGATTTCAGAGAGAGGAAAGGAGAGGGAGAGAGAGAGATAGAAACATCAATGATGAGAGAGTCATTGATTGAGCCCGCAACCCGAGCATGTGCCCTGACCGGGAATCGAACCCTGATCGGGAATCGAACCCTGATCGCCTGGATCCCAGGTCGATGCTCAACCGCTGAGCCACGCCCAGCCGGGCCATTTACTAATATTTTGAGAAAAACATATGCATGTTATATTTACCCTTCTTTAATTACAGGTGCCAGCTGGGACCAGGCCACTCAGTCAACCCTGTGGATCAGAATGTTTTATACAGACTTCAGGCCATAAACAACTATTGGCTGAAATGATGCAGTCTCATATGGTTAAGGACATATGTTTGATTGGAGGAAAAGTAAGAATGTCAGCCTCACTGCAAACTGCTGTTTTCTGACTTTTGGTTGTTTTGCCTTGTTCCTTAAATTACTGTTTCCATTTGTAGGGTTGTGGGAAAACAGTCATCGCTAAGAACTTTGCAGATACCTTAGGATACAACATAGAACCTGTCATGCTCTATCAGGTACAATATTCATTTTTAGCACTTGGACTGTAAACATATATGTTTGGACCATCAATAGAATTGATAGATATTTTCCCTTAACTTATGACCTGTTAATTTTCATGCAGATAAATAACTGAACTAGCAATCAAATTGAAGTGCAAGTATAATTATTTGGAACATTGAAAGTGCATTCTAGGATATCTGATGTGCATAACATGCCGGGGTCTGTTTTGCAAGGGAGATTCACTAAATGTGCATACACACAGTACATTTAATTGTAATTTGGAAATCTAAATAAAGTGGGTTTTAACAGCAGTGGGAGATAATTAGGTCTTCACCAAACATTATTTTTTATTGTGGTAAAATATACATAACAAAATTTGTCATTTTAACATGTGCAATTTATTCTCATTAAGTACATTCACAATGTTGTGTAACCATCACCACTATCTATTTCTAGAACTTTTTTATCATCCCAAATATAAACTTCATACTCATTGAAAAACAACTTTCAATTCCTCCCTCCCCCCAGAGTCTGGTAACCTCTATATAATTTTCTTTTCCTGTGAATTTACTTATTCTAGTTACCTCACATGAGTAGAATAATATCCTTTTTATCCTTTTGTCTCTAGCTTATTTTTCTTAGCATGTTGTTTTCAAAATGTGGCCATGTTATAGCGTATATCAGAATTTCATTCGTTTTTATGGCTGAAAAAATTCTGTTGTATATATATACCACTTTTTGTTTGTCCATTCATATAGTGATGAATTTTGACTATTGTAAAGAATTCTACTATGACATTGGTGTACAAGTATCTGTTTGAGTCCTCTGGTATATACCTAGGAGTGATACTGCTGAATCATATTGTAATTTCGTGTTTAACCTGTTGAGGAGTCCACAGTAGCTGCACCATTTTACATTCCCACCAGCAGTGCACAGAGGTCTGATTCCTTCATATCATTGTCAATACATATTTTTTACTTTATAATAGCCGTTCTAATGGGTGTGACACAGTGGTAACTCGTTGTGGTTTTTATTTGCATTTCTCTAATTACTAGTGATACTGAGCATCTTTTCATGTATTTATTGACCATTTGTGTATCTTATTTGGAGAAATGCCTATTTAAGTTTCTTGACAATGTTTTAATTGGGTTGTAGGACTTCTTTATGTATTGAGTTGTAGGACTTCTTTATGTATTCTAGATATTAACCCATTCTCAGGTATATGATTTGCAAATGTTTCCTCCTATTCTGTGGATTGACTTCTCACTCTCTTGATAGTATCCTCTGATGCGCAAAGGTTTTAATTTTTATAACGTCTAATTTATCTTTTTATTGCCTGATTTTTTGGTGTTATATTCAATAAGTCATTGCCACGTCCAATGCTATNTCCTATTCTGTGGATTGACTTCTCACTCTCTTGATAGTATCCTCTGATGCACAAAGGTTTTAATTTTTATAAAGTCTAATTTATCTTTTTATTGCCTGATTTTTTTGGTGTTATATTCAATAAGTCATTGCCACGTCCAATGCTATGAATTTTCCCCAATGTTTTCTTCTAACAGTTTTACAGTTTTAGGTCTTACATTTAGAGCTCTGATCCATTTTGAGTTAATTTTTATGTATGGTGTAAAGTAAGGGTCCAGCTTCAGTCTTTTGCACATGGATATACAGTTTCCTCAGCACCATTTGCTTAAAAGACTGACTTTTCCCCATGGGATGATTTTGGCATCCTTGTCAAACAAAAATCAATTGAGTTTGTATGGGAGGGTTTATTTCTGGGCTCTCTATTCCATTGGTCTGATGTCTGTCATTTTATCAGTACCACACTGTTTTGTTTGCTATAGCTTTGTAGTAAGTTTTGAAATCAGGAAATGTGAGACCTCCAGCTTTGTTTTCTTTTTCAGGATTGCTATGCTATTCAGGGTCTCTTGAGATTCCATATGAATCTTAGGATATGTTTTTCTACTTACGAAAAAGATGTTGAAATTTGATAGAGAGTGCATTGAATCTATAGATCGCTTTGGGTAGGTGGCACTTTCATTTTAATATTAAGTCTTCCAGTCTGTGAACATGGATGCCTTTCTATTTATTTATGTCTTCTTTAATTTCTTTCAGCAGTGTTTTATATTTTCAGTGTATAAGCCTTTAATCTCTTTGGTTAAATTTATTCCTATGTATTTTTTGTAGATTATTTTGGTGGATGTACAAGTTGTATATAGTATGATGAAAAAGCAAACTCACAGCTTGTGTTTTTACAGAGTGAAATTTTCTGTCATGTATTTTTTTGTAATGATAGCTCCTAAGATATTTTTATTCTGCTAATTTATTGATTCCATATGGTAGTCTTTGGGTGGTTATGGTATCTTTTTACTTAAAGAAGAGTCTTTCTTTGTATTCTTTGAATAGTCATGGAAGTAAATGTGATACTGTTTACCTACATTTTAGGATGCATTTTTGTTTTTAGTTTATTCTTTGGTTAAACATTTTTATTTTTACTAACACTAAATATATTTATATTTAAAATGTTCTTATTTTTGAAAAAACATTTAAACCAGATACATGTAGTGACCTTAGATCACAGAAAGTTTTGTTAACAGCTCATATTTCAAATGCTGTTGAGAAGATTCCTTCATACTGCTTTAAGGTACTTTGTGCCTATTGGTTGAATTGGCCAGAATTTAGAAGGAATTGTAATCACAAGGTATTGGTAACTTTTGGGCTATAAGCAAAATGATCTATTGTAAAAGATATGTGAGACTTCCCCCTAAATTTAGTTTTTCTCTTTCTTCTGTGTAGTTTTAACTCATTTAGAGCACCAAGTTATTTAGGATTTTGAGTTGCACAGAGAAGAATTTTGGAAACAAAAGAAAAAGCATCCTGCCTTTGTACAAAACTATGGTGGCTCTGTATCCCTATTATTTTGTACAGTTTTCCTTGTCATATTTCAAGAAAGACAAGTAAAAGTAGGTAGGTAAAAAAGGAGGTAAAGGTAATTAGATAATTAACTGATTGGAGAACTTAAAAGGTTCAAATGTTTATGAAAAGTACTTTTTGATCTTAAAAGATGAAATCTGTGAAAAAGCATATGATCAAGATTATGAAGTCATGAAGAATATGAATTACGGTGTAAATACTTAACTAGTAGCGATACCTCAAATCTTGAGAGAGAAACATATAAGGAAAAGAAAATAAATTTTTATGTTGTACAGCTGGTAGCAACTTCTTGGAACTCACTGAAAATATTTTTGAAATTAATTTTTATATACTGATTCTAGGTCTATTAGATTTTTTGAAGGAAATTGGGGAGGGTAATATCTTTAGCTTAGTTCATGGAAGATGCCATGAAGCATACCTTGCCATCTGACAGAATTACCTCTCTTGGTATCTTTGCAGAGGTCAGAAGACAGGTGGTTAGCTCAGTATGCTAGTTCCCTGGCCTTGGCCCTCCACAGCTCATGTTAGAAGTGATCCGAGAATGGCATTCTGTCATCTCACCAATCTGTTAGCATCAACTTTCTAATTGCCAGTGAAAATACTTCTCTACCAAAAATGGGGTAGGAAAAAAATTCATCAATATAATTGTAAAACAGATTAAATCCTATTATAAGTATGTTGTATTCCACTTATACATCAAGGATAAATATAAACATAATTAACCTTTCCAGGTGCCATTGCTTTGAAATCATATGGAAAAGACCTTTTGAAGATAACATTTATTTTCTCTTTGACTCCATCCCAATTTGTTATTAGTATTATTTCTAAAATCATATACATGATTCTTTTCTTCACATGAAAATAAAAACTCACATTCTAGTGAAAGCTGGAGATTATGCCTCATCTTTTTCCAGACAGTCCTGTTTCTGTATCAGATTTCTTGTTAGTTTACAGTGATTTTTAATATTGTAGTGGTAAACTATCCTAAGATCATATGCTTGAGCTGTGAAAATTATGCTCACCTCATTCTGCTATCCTTTAAAAGAAGAACCCAGCAAGACAGTATGTATATATCCATCAATTCAGATCTCTCAGCTCCACTGTATACCCAAAGTATCTTGCCATTGAGAATATTATCTTTATATGTGAAAGAATTAATGCAAGAGGCTGAGAACATATTTTCTTATATATTTTTGTAGAGTGACAATGAGCTCACAAAAATACTACTGTTGTTATTTTTTTACTCTCCTGTTCAGTTTGTTGATTAATGGATAAACCAGAGTAAGAAGATGCTACCATTAAAGTTGATGGCAGAGCATTCTATTTCCTGATACTCTTCTGAAATATGAAGTCAGTCTCTTCTAGTTTCTGCCACGGAATGAGGTCATTTAGTCATGTGTTATTAATCCTTTATCTGAAAAACATGGGTAATGATTATTGAAAGGTGCTTAAGTTTCCCATAAGAATATTTTGCCCATCCATGGCACATACACTGTCTGCCTTGTAGGTATCCTGCAAGGATTTGGAAAATTGGTACAGAGATAAGCAAACTAATCACATATTCTGAAAACCCTTTTCTAATTTTACTTTTCTGTGCATCAGTCTTTAGAGAAATGTCTAGGAGAAAAGAGGTTTCCCAAAATATGGACTCAGAAAGGTATAGAGAAATAATAATGGTAACCCATTTTTAAGTTTTTTTTTCCCTCTCTCCATATGACTTCTTTCCATGAACTGGATCAAAGCATATATTAGGCACTGTACTGACATTTGCAGATTTTGAAACTGCTAATCAGTTGGTTTTCATGCTAGAAACCAAGCTCCTAAGATCAAATGTAAGACTCTTTTTGCTCACACTTTCATATTTATTAGTAGAGCTCATTGATCTCTCTGGGACAGAGGAACTAACTTAATAGAATTAAAGAATAGGTTTGGGTTTTATAATTTTATAGTCCATATTCATGAAAAATTTCCTGAAGTTTGACCTGACACAGAGCATTTATTGTGAATAAGTAACCCCACACCTGTTTTCCTAGATGTGGAGATTTCCTTGTTACTTGTACATGTATAAAGCTACACTAAA